TGGAGCATACTTGGGCCATGAGAAGTCCTGGAAGCAAGCTTCACTGGGGTGTAGAGCTTTGGCTGTAATGGGTGTGAACCAGAGGGAGACCTGGAGGCAAGCCACAGTAAGGCTCAGAGTTATAGTTGAAGGGGGCATGGTCTATGGTAGGGGTGTCAAACTCATTTTCACCAGGGGCCACATCAGCCTCGTGGTTGCCTTCAAAGGGCCGAATGTAATTGTAGGATTGTATAAATGTAACTACTCCTTAACTAGGGACAAGGAGCTCAGCACTGCTGCCAGGTAGAAACAAGGTGCCAGGCCAGATAAAACAAGGGGGAGGGCCGGATTTGGCCACAGGCCTTGTGTTTGCCACCTGTGGTTTATGGGAAGGCCTGGGGACAAGCTGGGTTGTGGTGAGAACTGTAGCTAGAACAGGTGCAAGCCAAGGGGAGTCCTGGAGACAAACCATGGAGCCGGTGTGGGCTTGGGTCTTAGAGTGCACTGGGGCAGCCTTGGCTTGCTGGCTAGAGTGCCTGGATTGTGCTCCTGCTTGATTGATCAAGATGTGGGGATGTATAACAAATGGCAACACTGGAGAGAGTTCCTGCAGTGCCTCTACCATTTAGCAGGTGTTCTAGGGTTAGTAAATGGATTTCCTTCCCATACCTTCTAGTTGCCTTTAAGCCACTGTTTTTTCTCTATGCCCCAGGATGAGAAAGTTGTCACAGGCCCCTCAGTGATTCCTCCTTACTATATATAGGTCTGTGTGTTGGGGGTGGGATTCCCACATTACTGTGTCTCCAACTCCATCTCTCCTACCTGTTTCTATGTGGTCTCTCTCTTATTTTGTGTGTGGTATGCACAGAAGTCTTCAGTCAGTTCTCAGTAATTCTTCGTGGGGAATCACTCTATCTGTAGGTATAGATTTGATGTGTTTATGGGAGAAGGTGTGTTCAAAGCCTTCCTATGCCACCATCTTGAAACCCTCCCCTTGTTACTATTTAGTGCCTTTTTTTTTTTTCCAAAAAGAGCAGTCCCTTTAACATTTTGGGTAAGACTGGTTTTGTGATGATAAACTCCTTTAACTTTTACTTGTCTGGCAAACTATCTCATCTTCAATTTTGAATAATAACTTGGCTGGGTAGCATATTCTTGGTTGGAAGTTGTTTCTTTCAGCATTTTGAATATACTGTGTTACTGCCTGTGGCCTGCAAGGTTTCTACTTCAATATCTATCTTATGGGAGTTCCCTTATACTTAACAAATTGTTTTTCTCTTGTTCCTTTTAAGATTCTCTCCTAGTCTTTAACATTTGACATTTTAATCATAATGTATCTTGGGGTGAATCTCTTTGCTTTCATTTTCTTTGGAACTCTCTGAGCTTCCTGGATCTGGATGTCTATTTCCTTTTCTAGGTTGGGGAATTTTTCAGTCATTATTTCTTCAAATAGATTTTCTTGCCCCTTTCTCCCTCCCCTCTTTCTGGAAATCTTATAATGTGAATTATCAGTGTGTTTGGTACTGTCCCATAAGTCACTTAGCTGTCTTTACTTATTTCCATTCTTTTTTATTGTTGCTGTGCTTATTGGGTGAGCACCACTGTCTCGCCTTAAGAGTTCACTCATGCTTTCTTTTGTTGTATCTAGTCTTCTTTGAAACTCTGCAGTGTACTTTTCTGCTCAGCTTGGTATTCTTCAGCTGTGTGACTTACTTTGGTAATGTCTTATACTCTGTCTCTTTGTTGAAGTTTGCAGTGTGTTCATCACTTTTCTCCTGAGTTCAGTGAGCATGTTTATGACTAGTACTTTGAACTCTTTTTGAGGTAAATTACTTATCTCCATCTCATTGAGGTTTTACCCCTGAGATTTTATCTTGCCCCCCCCCCTGCAATTTGGAACATATTTCTTTGTTCTTTAGTTTGTTTGACTCTTTCCGTCTCTATGCATTAAATGCAACAACCATCTCTCCCAGTTTTGAAGGGGTGGCTTTGTGTAGGAAATGAATCTTGTTGTTTAACCCTTTCTTATCTCTTTGTTGTCTTTCAAACCTTTGTGATTGTCCAAGCAGCCTATTATATTTTTAATACCTCCCAGTAGTTGAGGGTGTGCCAGGACTTGTCAGTGTCCCAAAGTAAGGATCTCAGTCAGAACCTAGATTCAGGCTGATTGGAAGTTAGACACTCAGGCTGCATCTTTTCAAGTATTCAAATATATACAGTAGTGGGACCAGAACTGTAAGCCCCACTGGCCACCAGAGTCAGGCAATATGGAGGTGTCCACTGGAGCTGTTGCAAAAATAGGGCTTCAAAGAAGTGTAGGAGCTCTTTTCTGAGAGATACAGTAAGTTGTAGCAAGGCCAAGGGGAAGTGCAAAGATGGCATGTACCAAGCTACATTCCCTGAGAGCAGCTTTGTAGGCCCTAGGTGTGTACCAAACCTGAACTCTGCCTCTCAGGCCAAGCTCTAAAATAAGCAAATGGGCCTCTTAATACAGAATGAAATTATTTGGACCAAAAACTCTCTCTTGCCAAGTGACTTCATTGGTGTTTTTAGATACCTATTCCTCTCTTGGGATCTGGTTCTCAAAATTTGATGCAAGGCAGCATAGTCAAGAGTGCTCTGCACAATATATTTTCTTGATATACCTCCTCAGACAAGAGAAACAAAAAAATAAATAAAAGGGACTACATCAAACTAAAAATTTTTTATACAAAACAAAAAGGCAACCTACCAAATGAAGATATTCACCAATGATACACCTGATAAGTGGCTAATATCAACTATTTATAAGGAACTCATACAACTCAACACCAAAAATATCAAACAGCCTTATTTAAAAATGGGCACAGGACCTGAATAGACACTTCTCCAAAGAGGACATACAGATGGCCCATAGGCATATGAAAAGATGCTGAACTGTCCCAACCATTAGGGAAATGCAAATTAAAACCACAGTGAGATATCACCACATACCTGTCAGAATGGCCATCATAAACAAATCAACAAACAACAAGTGCTGGCGAGGATGTGGAGGAAAGGGAAACCTTATGCACTGTTGAAAGATTATAGACTGGTGCAACCACTATAGGAAATAGTATGGAGGGGACTCAAAATACTAAATATGGAACTGCCCTATGACCCAGTGATTCCACTTCTGGGTATGTATCTGAAGAAACCCAAAACACTAATTTGAAAAGATATGTGCACCCCTATGTTAACTGCAGAATTATTTACAATTGCCAAGATATGGAAGCAACCCCAGTATCCATCAATAGACAAGTAGATTAAAAATACATAGTGGTGTCCTGGCTGGTGTGGCTCAGTGGATTGAGCACTGGCCTGCGAACCAAAGGGTCGCTCATTCAATTCCCAGTCAGGACACATGCCTGGGTTGCAGGCCAGGTCCCCAGTGGGGAGCCCACAAGAGGCAACCACACACTGATATTCCTCTCCCTTTCTCCCTCCCTTCCTCTTTCTAAAATTAAATAAATAAAATCTTTTTTAAAAAATACATAGTGGTACATATATACAATGGAGAATTACTTGGCCACAACGTAGAATGAAATCTTGCCATTTGTGACAGCATGGATGGACATAACCTACAGGGTATTATGCTAAGTGAAATAAATTAGAGAAAGACAACTACCACATGATTTTACTTACATGTGGAACCTAAAGAACAATATAAATGAACAAACAGAACAGAAACAGACTCATAGGTACAGAGAACAGACTGATGGTTGCCAGAGGGGAGGGAGGTTGAGGAACTCATTGCCAAAGTTGATGGGACTAAGAAGTACAAATTGGTAGTTACAAAATAGTTACAGGGATGTGAAGTACAGCATAGGGAATACAGGATAATATTGTAATAACTATGCATGGTTCCAGGTGGGTGCTGAAAATATCAGGGGGAACACTTTGTGAAGTTTGAGTGTCTGACCACTGTACTGTATACCTGAAACAAACACAAAGTCACATTAAATGTAAACTATAATAAAAAATAATGAAGAGCACTCTGTAGCCCTGAACAGCAGAAAGGGCTTAACTGAATCTGAATCTATGCTCTGCCACCTGTCTGCACTGTGACTTTGCTCATGTCACTAAACTCTAAGCCTTGGGTTCTTCATTAGAAAAGGCAGATAGTACTACCTACTTCAAACAAATCTTTTATGAATTAGAATGTGTGAAGCTCTTAAGACAGTGTCTTGCATCTAGTAGGTGCTTAAGAAATGTTCATTACTATTTGTCCTATACCATTTTTTGTGCTTTGGGAATTCATGGAAGTATCAAAACCAGTTGATAAACTTTTTAGGAATACCTTGATATATGAAATAAAAATGTATTCAACTTTGTGGAAGAAATCTGTATAAAAAGAAAAAAGTGGGACTTTTAGGGATATGTACATACATCTTTCATTTTATTTTTCTTTCTAATCGTACATCTGACTATCAGAATTCAAACTGATGGGGTCAGTTTCCAGGTATTCTTTTCTTCTTGGTGATCTGTTTCTCTAGGTGAGGTAATTTTAACCTGCTAACCCAAAACAATGGGGTTTTTCTTAGGTACTGACCCCTCCCTCATTTCCTTTGACATGACCTCCTTTTTTTGTTTTAGCTTTATCCCAAATAATGTCCCTGAATCCTAATTTCATCCTCTGTTTTATGCTTTTTGAAATATTAGTTTAGCAGAAAGGGCTCAGGCCCTTTCCTCATAACTAATGGCTTCTTAGCCTGAATGCTGTTGAAAAACCAGTTCTGTTTTCATGTTCACTAGTACTTATACCTCTTCAGGGCTCATGATTCACACCATCACAACTCTTTCTCAAAGTCCCATTTTCTGACCAGACTCTAATATTCTCAGACTCTCTACTTATTGCTTGTGACAATTTTCCTTGAGGTCTAGCTTGACCATTTTGCAAGAATCAATCAAGAGCAGTTGAGAATTTGGGTTTACCATGACCACATTATGGAATACACAAGATTCAAAAATGGAAATTTATTCAATGCACAAGATGACTTGCTGACAAAAGTGGGGATAGGGACTGAGGGGAGAGAATGACATTTTATTATTACTAAACATTTGTATCTTCTTATTTTGATCATGTTTAGGTATATCCATGCAGCTATCAAAAGGCATATAAAAATGAACATTTTAAAAATAACTTTCAAAAGCAGTAAAAACAGTTATATAGGACATTATGAAATTTGAATGCCATCATTAGGACCCAACTTCTGTAGGTTACTACTATGGGTTCATCACCAAGGCTGTTCTGCAGATAGGCAAATAGGATGAGAGTATTCCCTTAATTACTATAATAATAAAAATAATTAAAGAAACCTTCATTTAGTTGGATAACCCTACATAAATAGGCAACACAGTAAATAAAAATGTAAACATACAGTTTTCTGACACCAGTGTAGCAAATATATAACGAGTTGCAACGATAAGAATTTCTAAATTATCCCACTATCCCACTAGAGTGATTCTTACACTTTGCTTCTTTGTTGTGTAATCCCTATGTATTTTTTCCCATTCATCATCTTCTGTATCCTGGTCAAATGTTTCGGGGTATGTTGGTAATTTATCTTTGGGGCATTCTTCATAGTAACTCCTAACATATTTTCCTACAGACCATCCTTTGTATTCTTCAGGTGTTTTGCATTCCAGGCCATTATAGTGGACATTGTAATGGTGCTTTAACCAGTAGTAGAGGTAGTGGATGTTGTAGTCACATCTCCAAGGGTTATCTCTGAGCCACAGGAGTTTCAAAAAATACAAGTCTTCAAATACTCCGTAGTCAAAATTTTGCAGACTGTTGTTTGATAAATCTAACTCTTCTAAATTTGTGAGTCCTAAAAAAGCAGCTAGAAACAGAAAATATTGAATAAAGCAAATGAGTAATTGGGTTAAATGCAACTCTATGGTGTTTATAAGGACAAATATGAATTAAAAATAAGAGATTTAATTCACTGTGTTGAAAAGATTTTTCCTCTCCTCCTTTTTCTCAGAGTACTTACTTTAGAAAACTTGTATGTACTTTGTCCTCTCTTTGAAATGTATACATATCCTTTAGAAGACTAAGGCCTTTTGTCAGCTTTATGAGGCAGAACTATCTTTCTCAAGGACCTGGGAGCCCTATCATTGAAATATAATCATCAAGACAGAGCACCCCTACCTCCCAGTTTTGGTAGGAGGGTAGGAACCTTGATCCAAGTTGCAAAACTACCTCTTGTCATAAAGATAAAAGTTTGTTTTCCTATTGACAAAGCCAGTTCACTAATACAGTTTGTTACCTCAATTACCAAGTAAAGTTAGGATGAACTGTGTGTGACAAATGGTGCTTTCAAATCCTCTTACTTAAGGGCTAGTTATCATTTATCCTAAAAACGTGTATGCATTGGATTGTGTCTGCCTGGCTACATAAATGTGAGATCTTTCTCTTAGCAGATTGCTTGTGCTGTGCATCACATTATGGTGTAATGCTTATCCAATAATAAATGTATTTCTTTCTCTATTATCCTTATGGAGAGGATTTCTGTGTTGGGAGAAGATTTTGGCTTTAATTATATTTCCCTAACAGTACATGCATCTAAATGAGAAGTTCTAGAATATGTTTTTACTCAAACAAAACTTTCCCCTTGATTATTAAATTGACTAGAACACAATATTTTATATGCAAAGTCAGCTTAAAGTTAGCTTTCTAAAACATGTATTTTGGGCTTCTGCATTCATTTATACTCACTGGAAAGATGCCACAAAAAAGGCATGAATTAGGAAAATATTTCAAATATAAGTGCATAATAATGAAAATGTGTCTGGTGATGGTTTGACAGATCCCTGGGATATTAGTATACTCTGAACATACATAGAAAATAGCCTTTTCCAGAGGGAATTATATTCCTGTGCAGTCCAAAGCCAAAACAATGTTATCAACATTTTGAAAACATCTGGTTGTGTTTGGCAAACTATGGTAGCTATCAGCTTTGAAACCATTTGTGTTTAATTCTACTAGGGTAGACAATTAAAACAAATATCAAACACATGACACAAAATAAGACAACAAAAGCTTTTTTAAAGAGTAAAGAAATCTAAACCTGGATTATCCCTATTTTAGTTGACGTGGATTGTCTAGATACTCTAGAATTTATAGGTCAATCCTAATCTCAAATATTTTGTTTCTATTTCAAATATTTTCTCATTGCTGTTTTAAAATACTGTTGTTGGAGCATAAAGTGTCCTTATTTTGAATTTGGAAAACATGTTCTCATATCAATACCATCAAGCATTTTTATATCATTTGTTCTCAGACAAAACCCATAATTCCCCATAAAAAATTCTGTTTTGGTGCAAAGCAAATACTTGGGGATGTGGGGTGGGGGAAGGCAGGCTGTGGAGAGGAGCAAAAAACCAGCTCTTATAAGATAGTTCTGAAGATACTACACCCTCCATTTGCTAACATTTGTAAGTCAGTGATCTCAACAATTTACTTTTCTTTAAACAAGTCAGCTTTTCAGATTGAAAGCATGTGTAAACATTGCTAGATTTTATTTTGAAAGCACTATATGTATCCAGGCACTTTGAAATCTAGCTTTCATGTTCTTAAAGGAAGTAAAATACCTAGTATGGTGTCATCTTTCCCTTTTTTTGCAATATTTGGAATTTTATGAGATTGTTATTAACACTTTTTAAAGAATGGCAGATCTCACTGCACTTGTGTATCTACCAGCATGAGTTGTAAGTAAGGCCACTTTGGCAGTGTTTCATCTCAAAGCTCCAAAATAAAAAAAGGTCTTTTATTTTAAAACTTCTTTGAAGGTGTCATTTTCACTAAAGTGCTAAGATACTTCTTTATTCCAGAAGATAAATCAAGAAAAGTGGTTGGCATTTGGAAGGCATTCAATATACATCTGTTAATGTAGAAAATATTTTCCTGGGACTGAACTGAACACAGGAGAAAAAGAATACTATTGCTATTAACAGTTTACATTGTGTGTCTGCAAGGAAAACACATTGGGTCAACATGAAAGGCCTTCAGGAGGTCCCAAGGATGGAAAAGGAGTCCTCACAACTACAGGAAGTTCATCACCAATGAGGGGAGAATATCAGTAGAAGTAAAACAAAACCATTTTGTACTATTATGTCTCTGCATTGTCTTCTCTTAGTTTTCTCTAGTTTTCTTTACATGATGTAGTTTTATTGTGATTAAACATTATTTTCACTATTATTCATTACTTTAATAAATTTAACTTAGGCCACTAACATATTATAGTCTCTTTTAGAGATACCTCTAAAGCTTATTTGCATGGACACTTTGGACGATTAGCTAAGGTTGAAGGAAATCAGACACTTGCTGAGGAGCCTGTGACCCAGCATGCTTGTCTTGAGAGTCTTTGGTTCTCATGGAGCAAAAAAGGGTCCCTACCTCCAGATTCTTCTCCCTGGGGCCTGGCTGACCTGCACTCCAGTGTGGTGACTGTTTTATGTGGGAGAAGAGTGTCTCTGTACTATTCTTATTTGCTGTGAAATGAAAATTGCTTCTGACTTCAAAATTTAAAGATACTGTCAAGTTTACACTATCTGTACAGACTAAGGTATAAGTGTAGCATATCGCTGGTCCTTTAGAACATTTTAGAAATTATGTTTTCTTAATATTTAAAAAAATGTTATTAATACTAAATATGCCTATGTAGCTCTAGAACATTTATTTTCAAATTTTACTTCTGCAATGTCAAAATCTTAATATTCTATTAATGATATAGTTACCATTAAGAAAAGCGGAAGAAACAATTGTACTCAAAATGCTTATGACATTAACATTGCATTATTAATAGTATTAATAGTGATTTTTATAGATAAGACTTTTCAAATTGAAGTAACACTGTGAAGGCACACATTATATATGTTATAAATCTGATTAATATTGAAGTAATTCTCAGTTTTTCTAAATCCTGTGTATAATTTACCACTCTTCTTTTTGCAAGAAACTTTGCTTAGAAAATGGAGAAGAGGTTTGAAGGATAGAAGAAGAACTGATTTTGATCTAGGATTAAATAAAATGTGATTGGCTCCGGTTTGAGCACATTTTATCTTAATTTATAAACTTGATGCTTAGCAGATTATTTCAAATTTAAGTAAGTTGTTGAAATCCTACTTTAAACAAGTTGGAACTTAATGAATAGCAAAGAAAATGCCAAATCTGAATTTTCCTTTAAAAATCACTACATGTTTAGAATTTTATTGACCACTAGCCATACATTCACATTTTTATATTGTATTCTATAAAATATTTTTACTAGGACCAATTAAAGAACTGTTACTTAGTAACATATAGTATTATATGCTTCATAAAACAACAACTTGGCAAATATTTTTGAGTGCTAAACAAGTTCTAATTTAATCTAAACAAGTACTAATTAACAAGATCTAATTCATAACATTTAATTTAAATTTAAACATTTTATTATTTAAGTTTTTTTACTTAATTGTATTTACTATAAATGTTGCCATAAGGGAAAAAGATAAAGAACATCTGTCACCAGTTTAAAGGGCTATTCTGTGGAACTTACCAGGATCGATGAATTCAATGCCATTGCTACTAAGGTTTAATTTCTTTAGCTTATGAACATCCTCAAACTCCTTGGGTCGAAGCTGGTTGATTTTATTGTATGACAAGTCAAGTTTAACAATATCTGGAGGGATGTTGTTAGGAACTTTCTTCAAATCTGGAAAAAATTAATCATATTCAGATTATCAACTTCTCTTGGCCTCTTTTGCTCTTATCACTCTTACTACACCTGTGTGATTGAAGCATTAGCTCTTAAAGGGGAAAAGGATATCGAAAGCCAAAGAACACTGGTATAAACAAGGCTTAGCATGTGCTAAATTCCACCAAAGCCTGGTGGCGCTTAGAGGAGCAACTCATTGCTGAGCTTCTCTGAGGCAGCTTTGAGGAATCAAGGAGAGCAGGAGGCAACACAGCTCAGTTGGCTCAGTCATCAGGTGAGGCGGTGGTCTCACTCCTGCCTGTCCATTAGAACCACCTAGGAGGCTTTAAAAAAAGAAAGCTGAAGTGAAATAAAACAAATCAAACCTTCTATTCGTGTCCCCTCCCATTCCTTTCACACTCCCCTGGAGTTTTCATTATTAATTTTTGCCTCTTTGATGCATCTTTCTTTTATCCCTCTCCTGAGGCCAGAAAATAAGCTCAGGTCTCTCCTCATAAAAAAGAAAGACAAACCAACCAAAAAAGCTCCTGACCTTGGTGACCCTCAAGCTGTTACCTTATTTCTCCTTTCCTTGGATGCTAAAATTCAATCAAGAGTCATCCCAATTTGTTGCCTCTGCTTCTCATCACACTTATTCCCTGAATCCGTGGTATTTAGTTCATATTCCATCACTCTTTGACTCTTCCCAGAGGACAACAATAACCTGACCCCTCAAAAACAACAATACAGGCCCTGGCTAGCGTAGCTCAGTGGATTGAGCGCGGGCTGCAAACCAAAGCGTCGCAGGTTTGATTCCCAGTCAGGGTACATGACTGGGTTGCAGGCCATGACCCCCAGCAACTGCACATTAATGTTTCTCTCTCTCTTTCTTCCTCCCTTCCCTCTTTAAAAATAAATAAATAAAATCTAAAAAAAAATAAAAAAGAATACACAATTTAAAAAAAAAACAACAATACAACAATAGCACCACCACCACCACTGCTGCTGCTGCTGCAGAAAACACCTCTGAACAGGAGTCCAGGGGACTTTCCACAATAGGAAATCAAGGCTCACCTCATTTATCTCCTACTATTTATGTTTGTCTTTAAACCATGCTTTTAAAAATATGAAGTGTGTTTATTTTATATGTTAGCATAATACTTGCCCTTTCTCTTAATCCTTAGTGAAATATTCTGAAGAGATTTTATTCCATTATAAATAAAGCAAGTGAAGAGAAACAAAACCTAATCCCACAAAAGGAAATTAGAAGAAACAAGTAAAATGTCCAGATTCATTGAGGCCTAGGAATAGCATGACCCAAAAGCTTTCTGAATTAGTAGAAATGCTTTCAACTGGGTCAAGTAAAGTAAATTTATGGAAAATTATATCCATTAACCCATAATGCCTCTTTGGTACAGAATTACTGAATTATTGATAAATTCTCCAGAATATTGAAAAACCCTCTTATTTATGATTTCTTAATTCATAGTATATTTACTTTCAAAAAGACTCAGGCTTATTTTTTTCTAACTTTTTTTTAAAAGATTTTATTTATTTATTTTTAGAGAGAGAAGGGAGGGAGATAGAGAGAGAGAGAGAAACATCAATGTGTGGTTGCTGGGGGTTATGGCCTGCAACCCAGGCATGTACCCTGGCTGGGAATTGAACCTGCAACACTTTTTTCTAACTTTTAATAGCTCAGAATCCATGGTCTTTAATGAGATGGTATTAGTAGTTCCTTGTTTTGTATCCATTTTCCTGTTAACTTTCTTTCTCTTCTTGATGGGATCTTAGCTATCTTTGTATTGATATGCAGGAACTGTTCTAAGTGCTCTAACAAGTATTAACTGACAAGAATCCTATAGCTAAGTACCATTATTATCCTCATTTTGCAGATGAAGAAACTGAGGCAGCACTTGCCTACAGTCACACTCCTAGGAATTAATCATAAACATGCTTGCCCAGACCCTATGCTTCTAACCACTGTGTTCCGCCCCTCATGGTACCCTTCTGTTTCCTTTATGCTCTTCTACCTGCTTAGAATCCTGGAGGTCAGCATGTAGGGTGAAATGGGGGTAATGGAACATCTGGGGTGGAATCAATATATTGGGATGACCATGAGACCTTTCTGGCTCTGTATTTAAAATAACATCTTCCTGCTTTCAAGCAGGTAATAATAACAATCATACCATAATTCCCTGCTTTGTCTCAATGGTAGTTGTCAACAATAAGCATAGTGTACATTTTACTGATTTATAAAATTTTTGCCCCTCCTCACCATGGAAACTTCATGAAGGAGGCTTAGAACAATGCACAACATATCATAAATAAATAACTGGTATGTGGAAGATACCTTTTAAAATGGCATCTAATGATCTCCTCTACTGATATTCATGTCCTTGTGCAAACTCTTCCCCTTGAGTATGGGCAGAACCTGGTGGTTTGCTTCTAACAATAGAATGCAGCAAAGGTAATGGATGTCCCTTCCATAACTAGGTTACAAGAAATTGTGATGTTCTTTCTACTAGCAGACTCTTTTGCTGGCTTTGATGATGCAAATTGCTATGTTGGAGAGACTCACGTGACAAGGATTAAAGGTGGTTTCTGGCCAATAGCTGGCAAGAAACTCAGGCCTCCAGTCCAAAAGCCCTTAAGGAATCAAATTCTGCCAACAGCCATATCAGCTTAGAAGGGAATCCTTTTCCAGTTCAGCCTTCAGATGAGACGATAGCCCTGAGCCCTGGTCAACACCTTGACTGCAGCCTTGTGAGAGATCCTGAAACAGAGGACCCAGCTAAACTATGTCTGATTTTCTGACCCACACAAACTGTGAGAAAATAAAGTGTGTTGTTTTTAAGCCATTAAATTGTGGGGTAGTTAGGCAGCAATAGATAACTAACTCATGGTAAATAATAGGAGCTCATTAAATGTTTGTTAAATTTAATGATTCAGGAATATTGAGGTGTCTTGTAATAAAAGTGCTTTGAAAATTTGAAGTGATTTTATTTCTGCCCTCTGATAAGACATTGTTCCATTTGACCTAGAGTTGTGTCTGCCACCATATTGAAAAGTGAAAGAGTTTAAGACAAACTTATTATCATGTTACAACAGTGAGGTAATCTCCCACTTAGGATCAGCAAGACCCTGTTTGGAGAGCTGTATTCTCTCTTGGGCGCTGCACATAAACAAGGAGATGGAGATGTGGTAATAATTGAAAACCACAGAGACAATTGAGAACAGACAGTAGAAATAATTTCTTGGCACTTTGCATTTGGAATAGCTACTGAGAATAGCTGTGTCATCATCTTAGAAGGTTTTTCAAAGAAGAATCAAGCTTTATTTTAAAATCTAGAATCCCACCTCTTCTCACTTCTTCCCCTGCTCCCACCTTTGTCCAAGCCACCGTCACCTCTTTTCTGAGTTATCCCAATAGTGTCCTAAGCCCATGTGATCCTGTTAAAACAGAAGTCAGATCATGTCATTCCTGTCATTTTCTCAGAAGCCCTCCTACCCTGCAGATGGCAGAATCCGTCAATTGCTTTCCATCTATGAATAAAGCCCAAGTCCCCACAAAGGCACTATAATGCCATTTAAGGCTGTAGGTCTTGTCAACAGAGTCAGCCTGTCTCTACAAGGTTCTGGAAAGCAGCCTTTTTCATCAGGACTTGCTTACTGAACCCACATCTGCTGGGCTGGATATGTGACCATTGTAGGACAAGCTAAAGTGGGTTAACCACAAATAAATGGGTAGAAAAAAGGGTCAGTGAGAACAGCCTGAAACCCAGCATAAGCAATGTGGCAGACCTGTGGATGCTGGAAAGGCACAAGAATTGTGGGACCGACTTTGGCATTGTTAGCAGCAGCCCTGGGTAAAAATGGGATCCACAAGTAATACCAGGAATCGCAAACCAAAGCCTTTACTAGAAAAATGGGAAAATTTTATTGTATTGATGGGTAAAAACAGTTCTTTAGTTCTTTAACTTAAAGCTTGCATTATACTTGAAACTATTGATGTAAATAAAGTATGTTTGCTTTGATAAAGATTACTAATTTCTCCAGGCCAGGAACAAATTTGGTCAATGTGACATTTCTAAACCAGGTACCACATTATTTGCTGCTACCTAAAATTCTTGGTAAACCCTCAACAGATACCGTATTTACTTATCACCCCTGACAAGCCTTGCTGATTGTGAGGAGGGAATTGGCAAATTTTCTCCACATAATTTCCCATTTAGTAGTCTTTCTTGGCTGTCAGCAATGTCAGAAACTACTCTGAAGGCTTGAAAGTAGTAGGTAAAGAAACATAGATGGGCCTGTTTGTTGCAAAAAAAACATCTTAATTATTTTCAAGCCAGTGCAGAAGTTGATTTCAGAGGCTGCTGGGAGCAATTTATTGGCATAATTCTCCCCAGTCCTAATCTTAGAGGTAAAAATGAATCCTTAAAAATGGTAAACTATTCTGGTAAATGCAAAGCTATAAAGGAGTTTTAAAACTCCTTTCATGTATTTTTGGCAAATCCATTTACCTCAATGTGGCATAAACATGCCTTTCAACTAATTTCACATTTATTTCCTTTGAAAGACTAAGTTTTGTTGGCAAAGTGCCTGGATCCCAGTGAATAAAGCTATTATTTCTGTTTCTTACTGTCAGATGTTTAAGACAAAAATAGTGATCTTTGAGGTCTGTGTGGTCAATTGGCACCTATTGGGTGCCCTACACACACCATCTGACTCATGATCTGTCAGCTGGGAAAGGCACAGGTCCAGAGGGAGGGGAATCTGTATTCAGGCTCCCTGTGTGGGATTATGTGCATGGTTTGCTGTACAGAGCCTGAGAAGAAGGGTTCAAATTCTTTAAAATTCTTTTTTTTTAAATCATCACCTGAGGATATGTTTACTGATTTTAGAGAGAGGAAGGAAGAGAGAGAAGGGGGGCGAGGAAGGGGAAGAGAGAGAGAAACCAACGATGTGAAAGAGAAATATTGATTGGTTGCCTCCCTTACAAGCCCCAACCCAGG